GTTACATCATCAATGTTTCACCACTCACTACATCATCACTGTTTCACCACTCACCACATCATCAATGATTCATCACTCACTACATCAATGTTTTACCATTCACTACATCATCACTGTTTCACCATTCATTACATCATCATTGTTCCACCACTCATTACATCATCAATGTTTCATCACTCACTACATCAATGTTTTACCATTCACTACATCATCAATGTTTTACCATTCACTACATCATCACTGTTTCACCATTCATTACATCATCATTGTTCCACCACTCATTACATCATCACTGTCTCACCACCCATTACATCATCACTGTTTTACCATTCATTACATCATCAATGTTTCACCACTCACTACATCATCAATGTTTCACCACTCACTACATCATCAATGTTTCACCACCCGTTACATCATCACTGTTTCACCATTCATTACATCATCACTGTTTCACCATTCATTACATCATCACCGTTTCACCACTCATTACATCATCACTGTTTTGCCACTCACTACATCATCAATATTTTACCAATCATCACATCAATGTTTCAGGATTCTGCCCAGCCCGTTTTGAGTGCCGGGCGCTAATTAATGATCATGAGGTTGTTAATATTCATGAGCTAATTAATACTCATTTTCCATTCTAATAGGCAATCTACATTATCTTGATGTACGACATATTCCGATCTGGTTTGTTTGTTACCAGAATGTCAATCGGAGAAGTTTAAAACAAAAACACGTTAGGCCGATGTCACACGTGTACGTTGATTTTGAACAGCGATGTCTTCTTTCACTGTTTTACCACTCACTACTACATCATCACTGTTTTACCACTCACTACATCATCAATGTTTTACCTCTGTTTCTATCCCAGTCAATACTCTCCTCATCATCTGATATAGGAGTCTGCCATGATCTACCCTTTTCATGTAATAACTGATCAGATTTCACTAATCTACCATTATCCTAAAACAAAAAAGAAAAATTATTTATTTATTCCTTGGTCAATTAACAAAACACAAAAATGGCCACATTCAGCCTTCTTGAATCAGATTGCAAAACAATGGATGTACGTATGTATCTCAAGATGCGTGATAAATGTATGGAATTTGAATATAATCCGTTCAGGCATGTTTGAGATACAGTAAAATCACAAGTCTTTGTTTTTGACTTCACCTTAACAAGGACTAATAACAGGTTGACTTACTTCAGTGTCAGAACGATATGTTCTTGGGGCCCATGCTGTATTAGCACCATCTAAAGGGGCATACTGTCTAGGACCATTCACGGTATCATCTGTATCTGTTATGTAATCACTAATAAAAGACAATTGAATTATTAAAACATTTAGTTACATGTATGTATATAGACTGGCATGTCAGCAAGTCACCATCCCACAACAGACAGGTGAATCATCTGACAAACTTGACTGTAGGTACCTCTAAACTATGGGTGGGGATGGAGGGTAAAGTTGTTATTTTCAAAAATGAAAAACATGTGTTAGTTGTGTGTAAAACATGCATTTGATGCAGTGTGTGAAATTTATGCTAACCTGCTGGCCCAATACTATTCTAAGCCAGTCATGTCATTGACATTTGTAAAGTAGCTAGTCCAAATGTCCTTCTATTATTGTAAAAATAATATTCATATACTGATGATAAACTGGGAAATTTACTTTAAAAAGTGTTTTAACATTATTTTGTATTTGTTGAGCCTCATTTTTTAACAGGGAATTTGTCTAATTATTTGTGATTAGCGCTCTCATCGGTCATATTAACCTCTCTAACCATGATAAAAATCAAAGATTATCATCAACCACAATTTACTCAAATTCTATGAAAGTGTGTGTACATTTACTCATGAATTCATGAACACACATTATTTCATATGCAGTTTGCTGTTTCAGCTCACATTGCTTATGAGACATGTGACAGTATCACAACTATGTATGCCAAGGCCCACATAAGTTAGAAGGCTATAAATGTTAATTTCATCATCTTTTTATGAATATTCAGTGACAAATTTCCAAGACCACTCAGCATTGTAATTATTAAGATTCAGCCTATTTATGGTTATTGACAACATTTTGCTCAAATTTGGACAGTTATTCCACTGAAAAATTCCATGGCCTTAGACAATTGACAAATTTTTGAGAGAGTGTGTTTCTGTCATGATGGCACCCTTGTCAAGCACAGATTTGCTTACTAACATGTTGTGTGCAATTTAAAATTATGTTTGTTGTGAGTGATTTAAAATCATGAATTTTGATAACACATGTTCAGTGTTAGATTTAAACAGAAATCCAAATTCACACAACTTGTCATTGAGATTAAAGATTTCGGAATGTTAATCCTCCTAGAAAAATTCTGTTCATATATATGGTATGTTCACATGGCAGCATTCTATGGGAGTCCAACTACTACTCTTCCCACAGATTAACAGGAGATTATCTCCAATGCGTTCACACAATGGAGGGTCGAACGAGAGCCGAGATCTGCCAACGGAACAGTGCTCTCAAATAATTAGTAAGAGAAAAAAAACAGGACTGAGGGCTGAAAACGATTTTGGTGTCAAGTTTGTGTTGTTTCTTTACACGGCACAATGCTGTTGAGCTGGGAGAAAAAACAGTAACGAGTCTGAGCATGGAGGTAGAAAATATAATGCACTGGTGTTATGATTTAGGTACTATTACCTCGAATAAACAGGAAACTAAAATGTGTTATTGTAACAGTCTATTCGTCATGCAAAATTACCATTTTGTAACTGTTGTGATATCTAACCTACTAGGAACACGTCACCATACCGTGATCGCTTCTGTGATTTTTATCTTAGGTGTCTTTAAAAAGTTTATTCAATTTCCATTGGATCTGTTCTGGCGTTCTTTCAAGTTTTTGTCGCATAATTTCGTACGCCATTTTTCTGTTTCCCTCTAGATAGAGGGACTGTGATCTATCGCAGTAATTCTTTACTCTGTCAAATAGATATTAGGGTACATATCTCTTCGTCAAGCTGGAAATTGCGTGAAATTACGAAAGATGTTGTCTTCGCCATAATTGAAATGAGAGGTTACTTGAAGAAGACGTTTGACGGCGTGATTTGCGCTCCGATAGTAGGGCCATACCGCGTATACACATTCGGGGCCATGACGGGGGCTCAACCTTATCGGAGTTCAACCTTGAGGGTATAGTGGAGCTGAACTTGGCTCGAGCCGGCTCGAGTCCAACGCGTATACACAGCCATTTTTGCTGGCTCAAGTCTTAGGGCTCTAATAAAATGGTGTTGTGAACGTAGCAATAGTGACAATTGCATAATTTTGTGACAATATCAACATGTTTAATTAATCTGCAAATTCACTCATGATTAACCCAAACAACTTACCCATCTTTAAGTCTTCTTCTCTGAGGTGACACATTGTACTGTCGAGACCCATATGCATCACTCATCGGTTGAACTAATTGAGAAAATCCATTACTATTAATTTCTTATTTTTAAAACAGTGCATCTTTAACCTCAATTAAAACATTGGTTCTGTGTGTGCTACTGTGATGACTGTACAGTAAAAACACATAAGTCCATGTATTTGGCAGAATTGTCTAATCACAATTCAAATTAAAACTAATCAAGCAGGTTCAAGTACCATATTTCAGTGAAATTTTGTAGCTCTTGAGATTCATGTATCAGTCAGAAAGCTTGTAAACAAGTTTGAATCAAAGAAATTTTAAATCTGAACTTGAAATGAGTGTATATCAATATGTGTGACACGATGTATATTGTAGATGTAAACTAGATGCAATCAATCAAGGCATGTCAGAGATATGGCTCTACAACTGTATTTGATAACACAAAGTTTCTGCCAGTTGACCATTTATAGTATATACTTACAGTTGTCATCATCATCATGCCACACTGGACGACGCTGTAATGAAAGAAAATGATCAGATGAATATAAATAAATAAACAACAACAAGAAAGGCCACTGTACCATTGTCATATATCATTTCATCCATGTAATATGTATAATGAAAAAT